GCTCTTTATTATAACTTCAATATGGATCAAATGCAGATACACCGCATGATTTATCACTGTGATTATCAAGATTTTGAAAACAGAGGAGAAAGAAATCTTCAAGCAAGAGGAAAGAGAGAGAGAGCCAAAGAAAAAAAAGCTTAATTGTGGCTTAAGTTTATTCTCTGCAAACGTGTGGCTTAAGTAAAAACACATGTAATCCTCTCTGTTTCTGACTCTGTTTACACCAAAAAGAGACAAAACCTCACGCTTTTGTCTTTGTTTCTAAACCATTAACTTCTTCTTCTCTTTTTGTTGAGTCAGGTCGAATTACGGAGTAAAAGAGCTCACATGGGAAAATGGGCAACTAACGGTCCATGGTCTAGGCGAAGAAGTCGAACCAACCACCTCAACTAACCCTATTTGGACCCAAAGTCTCAACGGTTGTGAGACTTTGGAGTCTGTGGTCCATCAGGCGGCTCTGCAGCCAAGCAAGATGCAGCAGCTGCAGAGGCCTAATGGTCCAGACCACCACAATTCTGAGCGCAAGATCGACGGATCTTGCTCAAGAAAACGTGGTTATCCTCAAGAAATGGACCGTTGGTTCGCTGTTCAAGAGGAGAGCCATAGGGCTGGTCACAGCGTCACTGCGAGTGCGAGTGGTACCAATATGTCTTGGGCGTCTTTTGAATCTGGTCGGAGCTTGAAGACGGCTAGGACCGGAGACAGAGACTATTTATTCTCTGGATCGGTAAGAACTAACAGAGACTACTGTTTTTTTTTTGTTTGTTTGAAATATGAGTGGAGAAGTAACCAAAAGAGGACTTTACCAGGAAACTCAAGATACTGAAGGAGATGAACAAGAGACTAGAGGAGAAGCTGGGAGATCTAATGGAAGACGGGGACGAGCAGCAGCGATTCACAACGAGTCCGAAAGGGTATTGAAAAAATTCGATATTTTTATCCGTAATTGCTCGAGTTTTTTCCGAAAAGCTTTCGGGTTTTGATGCAGAGACGGCGTGATAGGATAAACCAGAGGATGAGAACACTTCAGAAGCTGCTTCCTACTGCAAGTAAGGTAAGTACCAAGAAGAAGCAACCTTTCAAGTTTTGGACTTTTCCTCGAGTAGGTAAAACAGAGTTATTCGGATATCGCAGGCGGATAAAGTTTCGATCTTGGACGATGTAATCGAACACTTGAAACAGCTACAAGCACAAGTTCAGTTTATGAGTTTAAGAGCCAACTTGCCACAACAGATGATGATGCCACAGTTACCTCCACCACAATCAGTTCTCAGCATC